GCAGGATCTTCATTTTGCATCGTACCGCGTCGGCCACGATCTCCTCCCCCAGCTTGTGGCTGGTCACCAGCTTCTCGCAGGCCACCTGCTTCCGCAGGTAGGACTCGGGGAGAAGAGCCAGGCGGACGGAGCGCAGCAGCTCTGGCAGAACTTCGTGGCGTCGGGGCAAATCGTACCGGATCCAGCCTATAACAGCTTCGTACACCAGGGTCTCGTCCTCTACCTCCAGCTCCTCACTCTCCACCAGCTCGAGCAGCTTGTCTTTGGGCAGGCGGAGGAAATCTTCGGTCTTGCAGAGCGAGGTGAAGTTGGCCAACGCCATCCTCCAGGACAGCTCCAGCAGCCGCTCGCAGCAGTGAGCGTCGGACAGCAGCAGCATGTTCAGGCAGTTCCCCGGGTAGAGGTTCTTCTCCAGGAAGTCAGCCGAAGCATCCCGAATATCCTGGAACTGCAACATGTCCCCGGCCTCCAGCAAGGACTCCGCATTCTCCTCGTTGATCAGCACGCGGGCTGAGTAAGCATAGTCCAGCAGCAGCTCCAGCACCTCGGGATGGAGCGAGTCGTGGAAGTTGACCTCGGCGTCCCTGCTCTCCTTCAGGCCCCCGCTGAACATCGCGTCGAAGTAGCGGCTGCAGGAGGCCAGCACGGCGCGGTGGCAGTGGAAGGCCTGGTTCCCGGCGCGCAGCACCACGTCGGTGAAGAGGTGCCGCTTGCGGAGCAGGTTCAGGTGGGTGAGGAGGCTGTCGGCGTGGCCCGGCTTGTGGAAGAGCTGGATGTTCATGGAGCCGGAGCTCGAGCGGGATTTCCGGTTCTCGTGGCTGCTCACGGACATGGTGGGGAAGCTGCTCCGCGGCGGATAACCGGAGAGGGACCGGGGAGAGGGGTGGGGGGGTCAGCGGCGAGGCTCGGACACCTCCGGGTGCAGCTGAGCGGGGGCAGCGCGGTGCCCGGCGACCGGGGACCCCAACGGGGACGGAGCACGGGGCTTGCCGCGTCCCGAACGGGTGGCTCTGGGCAGTCCCGGTGTGTTCCCGGTGCTCCCCCTTCCCCCGGTGCCGCTCCTTACCGGGCTCAGCCCCGGAGCCGCCTCCGCCCTCCGCGCCCGCCGCCCCGCTACTGCCGCCGCGCCCCGCAGCCGCCGCGTGGCCGCCCCGCCGCAGGCCCCGCCCCCCCCGCGGCGGAGCAGCCAATCAGCGCCCGCCGGCGCCCGCGGCTCGTTCTTTGTGAATGAGAGCCCCGCACCGGGCGCGCGCGTGCGCCACGCGTTAACCCTTTCCTTCCCGTCGCCCTCCTATGTAGTAGGGTGACGCCAGGCAGCGCTGCCCCCACCTCCCTCCCCCCCTGCACCCGCACCCTTGGGCCAGCAGCACCCCTCCCTTCCGCAGCAGGCTTCCAGCAAACCCGGGGAGGGGAGCGGCACGCCAGATCTGCCAGCCATAAAGCGCGGCTGCGGCTTTGTTGGTTGTCGCCCTGCCATAAAGGGGCCATAAAGCTGGAGCCACGATTCTGAGCCGTTATCAGCCACCCGCGCTATCTGCTCGCGGCCTTTCGCATCGCGGCTTGCTGACAAAGTGAGGTCATGGCCGGAACGAACCATCCCTGCTCAGCAAATGTTTCCTGCGGGGGGGCAAAGCAAGAGCTGAGTAGGGCTGAGGGATGTAACAGCGAAAAGCAGCGGCAGGTTCCCTCCTGGGAATCAGTTCTGCCCTCGTTAGACCTCGTGCAAAAAAGATAAAGTCAGCTGCAGCAAGTGCTGCCACGGAGTCAGCAGCTAGCAGCCACCACCAAGAGGTGCTTGAACACTGTGGGTGATTTGGGAGCAAAATGGCTCAACAGGACAGCAATAGGTTCAGACAGCCCCACACCCGAGAACCTCCTGGGCTTTATTTAATGTCCACAGCTTAAAGCTGTGTGACAACACAAAGTGCATAACACAAGTGCACTTAAGCCAGTTTACAGCACCCTTTCGCTACATTAAAAGCATGATTTGTTTTTACTACTTCTGCATCAGAGGCGGTTTGCATAGGCACAGTTGTTTTGTGTTTTAAATCACTGTAACTACACCTTGTCCCATGCTGAGCAGCACAGCATGTCCCGAAGGAGTGGTTTAACCAGGTTTCAAACACACGCATATAGGATCTGACAGATTTAAAAAAAAAAAAAACTGCTATGTCACAGCTGGTGACATCTGAGGACAGGACTGAGCAACAGCCACAGCTGCCTGTAAGCAGCCGTGCCCAGGTGCTCCACCCGTTTTGAGGCAAGACCTGCAGTGTGATTACAGAAAGAGCCTTTTCCAGATAATAGCTGCCAGCAAGCTGAGTCGTGCTGCAAGCAGACACCTGCAAATCTGCCACCAACTCCTGAGTGAAGTCAGACACCCCCTGTGGCAGAACTAGCATTTAGCAGGGTGAAGGTCCAGATAAACAACCAAGCAAGGCAGCAAGGACAGGGCAAAGGATAAAGAGTATCAAGGCCTTGCTATGCTCTTTGAACATTGGTAGCAGAGTTTCCCATGTCCATGCCAAAAAAAAATAGCTAAACGTACTGGAAAGGTGGTCTGTGTGGAACTGAGGCGCATGGAGCACAAACACTGCTCGGACTAAGCAGAACTGTTTTCAAAAGATGCAGCTATGTGAAAAGCTGAAGCAGTCAGGTGCTTTGAATTATTCTGCCAGAAGAAAGGCGGGTAGCAGATGGTCTCTGCCTGCCCTTGGGGGTGCTGCAGCTAACACAGCACAAACGTGTTTTGTTGCCTAGAAACAGTTTGGGGCTTTCTACAGCCAGATAAATAACATTTGTCTAGTTATCAAAAGTAACGATGACTCAAGGCCACTTTTGAAGCATTCATCTCATTTATTATTGGCACTGCTTAGAAATATGACTGTAAAACGCATTCTTGCATTGGTTTGACCAGTCCTTTCAAAAGTGATTAATAGATTTGTTTCTTTTTTTAAAAAGTCAGTTGGCTCTTACAGAGCTCGGTGGAAGAGCTCCACCCGGTGGCCTTCCACAAAGGCACAGCTGAAGCCTCTGCACTTTTTTTTGCATGTTCTGGTTTAACTGAGAAGTCTCAATTCACAGTATTTATTCATAAATGAGTAACAGAGGCTGGAAGAGAGCTCAGTAAGGCATTGCTAACAGCTGGTGTTTCTTTCCCGTATCACCTCTACAGAAACACAACTGTCATAAATTAAACAGCCCACAACAACCCAGCAGCCTCCCTCTGCCACCTGCTCCTCTTTGTGCTTTGGGCATCTGCTCTGAGCTCAAGCACCAAAATATCTGACAGAGAAGCTTCTGTGACAAAGGTCCCCTCCCTGGCTCAGATGAGGCACCAAGTGCTGAGCCTGGGGCTTGAACTCGCAGAATCCATCCCTGGGAAGTTTTGAGTAAAAGAACCGTGGCCATTTCTCCACCAAACACTGACTTTGTGCTCTTTTAAAGGAGAGAAGACCAGAGGATTGCATTTGTCTTTTGAAGTACAGGATGGAAGGATGGAAGTGAATACAACTTTCTTCCTCTATGTCATCAACCCTATGAGATTTCTTGATTTTCAGAGGATTAACCTGAAAGATTTCTCTGATGAAGAGTAATAAAATGTGTTAACCATATGTGATCCTCTCTGTAACAGGGATCTCGATTACAGTCTCAATTACAGGATGCACAGAATTACAATCATCGATAGCCAGGAGAGTTAAAATACACCCTGTTTCAATAAATGCATTTTTGCCATGTAAAAACTGGGCTCCAGCGGCTTAACATGGCTCATACAGCTCCAGAATTACTCTCTCTAGATGCCTGGTAGATACCAATCAGGGAAGAGATGGTCCCCAGGAGTCCTACTAACCACGGCGGAAACTGCCCAGCCCAAAGAAATCCTGGTGGCAGCCAGTGGATGGCATTGGCAAGATCTGCCATGTTACTGACGATGCTCAGAACTTCACTCTTCACTTGGGCTTTCATTTTCTTTCGATCCTGTGATGAAGATGTACTGTTGAAAGCAAGAATAGTGTTAGTAAGAGCCCAGAGCTTAATAACAGTTAATGATGGCTCATAAATGAGAATAAAAGTATCTGGGTTGAAACAGACGGAGAGCCAGGAAAAGAAATCCTACCACTTCTGCTGCCTCAGCTTCTTTCTTAACCGACACAAAATTCTCAAGGATCTGAAAACAAACAGATTGAAAGTTATTTCTCCTGTAGCATGGAAAGGGAGAACTTTACTTTAGCGTTAACCTCATCCGTGAGCATCTCAGGGTAGAGGCACCTTCGTTTCATCCCGCTCCCCAGCCGGCCTTACCGCAGGATGCCCAGGAGCAGGGACAAACCCCAGAGCCTGGTGCTCGCCTCCCACCACTTGCTCGAGCTGGTGGGGACGATGCCGGCGTCGGCCGCCCAGGCGACGTGCTCGCAGGGGTAGTAGAGCTGGTCGGCCACGTTGCAGAGCACCGAGAGCCCGCGCACCACCGCGTCCTCGTCCTGTGGGGAGCACGGCGGCCACACCTTGACACCCGCAGCCCACCCGGGGCTGCTCCCAGCACTCCCACCGCCGCCCTGCTCTCACCTTGGGCCCCAACCCGTAGCCGTGGCTGTAGCTGAGCATGGCGAGGTCGTCGAAGAGCCGCAGGACGGTGCGGCAGTGGCTGAGCTGCGCTGACACGGCCAGGAGGCTCCGGGACAGCCCCGCTGCGGGGCTCTGCCGCCCTCCCAGCGCCCCGCCAGCCAGCTGGCAGCCATAGCAGAGAGCGCGGACCTGCGGGGGCACAGCCCGGTGAGGAACAACCGGGATCGGATCGGATCGGATCGGACCCGGCCCGGCCGCCCCCCCCCGCCACTCACCACCCGGTCCCGGCCTCGGTAGGATTCGAGCGCGGCGACCAGGCCGCAGAGCCCCCCCGCCGCCGCCATGGCAACGCTTCCGGGTTGGGCCGCGCGGGGCAGGCCGGGAACATGGCGCAGCGGGGCCGTTGCCATGGTGACGGGGCCTAGTGGCTGCAAGGCTCCGTCGAGGCCTTCGTGAAGGGATGGCGGCTTCGTGCCCTCCCTCAGCCCCCAGCACGGGGGGTTCCGTCCCGCAGGGATCCCGCCTGCAGCTGGGAGCTGGTTGTAGAGTCCCCGAGGAGGCCGGTCGGCCGTTTTCTCACGTTCAGTTCCCTCCTTTCTGGGGGGTTCACCGGCCGGCGCCGGCCGCGCAGCCCCGCAGTGGGGATGTGCTGAACCAGAGGCTGGCTGTGGGCAGGGAGCTGTGCTCTGAGACGCGCCTCGCCTTTCCAGAGAAGCCCCTGGAGCCGGTCGCCCCCGTTGTGCCCCCAGCATCATGCGTCCGCATGCACGCAGACCCCCGCATCCGGGTCCTCATCTCAACGACAAGGGAGAACTACCCCTGTCCTGATGTGTCCCCCCAGAGACCTGCCCTTCCCAAAGCCCAGGAGTGGAGCGATAATGTTCTTTGTGGAGACAGAGAGAAAATAAGGCTCCCTCCGTCTGTCTACACCTTCTCATATCCAGCACACGAGATCCAGCCTGTTGCCAGGGCACGGCATGTGTACAGGGGTGAGTTGTCCTCACAGTCTGAAGGGCTGCGGGGATTTTTGGTGGCATGGCTCAGAGGCACGCTGCAAATAATTAAAGCTGTTACAACGATTTGGGTATTTTCCTTTCTGATTTCATAGCTGAATAAATCAACCTGATGCTTGTAAAACAGGTTTATTTGTGCTAACTAGAGCCACTCACCAGCCAAGCTTTTCCAGCAGAGAACATCTTTGCTCACTGTAGCCTCAGATGTTGCAGTTCTCACACCAAACCTGCATCACTTCTGATGCACCACATCCACATTCTGCAATCTTGCAGTTCACCTTGTTGCAATCTGGTGTTCGTCATTTTGCTGTTTAACTATACTAAATTGATTCAAGAGTACAAAAATGCTAAAAGAGCAGCTGCCTTGCAATTGCAGCTTCAATATCACAAATATTTCCTTACAAATGTAAATATAGCATTTTTAGAAATAACACCATTCATTTCCCCTTCTGGCTGTTTGGCAGGATGTCCTATTAAAGGGGATGGACGATCCTATTACCACACTTCTTATCAAGCACAGTTTAAAGGTGAATGGAGTCCACCAGTAAAGCCAAGTGAAAAGGTAACGATGAATTTGAGGAGGACCAGGACACAATTAAAGGACAGCACGTTGCCTTGTTGAATTCTGTACTGAAAGGGATGTGATTTATGCATGTGAAAATCAGAGGGATGGAAAGGCAGAGATGGGAAACACGGGGATTGTGTTTTAAGTAGCAGTTCTGTAGCTTTGTTGGCTTCCCTTCAGCACATGTCTCGTATTAAATTTGGGGATCCAAGAAGCAGTGGATCTGTGAGTGAGCAGAAACATGCCTACACTGTTCCAGACAAGAGAAAGCACAGGTATTCAGCAGGATAGCCTGTCAGGCATCTCCAGGAGCTGCTTCTTCTGATGAACATTGCTATTTAAGCAGCTCATATCTGATATCTTGCAGGGTCTACGACAAGGAGCGTGCTGTCTTCCAGATCCACCACACAAACCTGCAGCTAGGGGATGGTTGCACCAGATTTTCCACGTCAATGTCAGAACTCTTCCCAGTACACAATCTAGGTAGGGTAAGTCTGTGACACAGAGACAACGCACAGACTGCTGCTGATGTTTATAACCAGCTGAACAGTGAGTTTTATTGCTTGTTCGTAATGATATAATTATAAAAAGATACAATACATGGATATTGTATGTATACAATTGTATTATTTCTAATGTTTTATCATTTTTGTGTACTCAGTACCAGTATCCTCACTGTGAGGTTCAGTTTCATCCTCACCCTACTTCCCTGGCAGGTTAAATAGTTGTATTTATTCCTGTGTTTTATTGCATTTGGAGAAACTGCTGTAGCTATAAATCATTCAGAGGATGGAGTTTTTCTGACATCTTTCATTCTTGCCTTTGCCAGAGCCTGTAGCTGTTGCTCGTCCAAACAGAAATGCCTCATCCATCCCCAAAGGCGACGAAGATCCTGAGAACCTTGCACTAGCAAGAATGACTACGACACAGTTCTTCTACCCAGAGGTCTGTTCCCAGCTTTGCAGGTGATTCTCTGGTGGAGAATCTCTCCTTTTTAATGCACACTCTTCTGGCACCTCCTTAGGCCAATATTGTCTCTTCTCCCCTTTCCACACTGGGTGGCAATCCTAGACTCTGGGCTGCATGAGTCTAATGTGAAAATCTACATGAGTAAAGTGAAACAGGGCACCTCTCCCAGCTACAGCCTATTTCTGTTAAAGCCAGCTCTTGTGTTCTCTAGACTGGCAGGTGGAACTTCTCACCAAAGCCTGACTTGCTACTGCAGAAACACCAAAGCAGCATCTGCTTAGGAGCTGACCGTTCAGGCTCCTGTTACTTCAGCACAACGCAGCAGTCAGACTACCAGCCACCACACCAGACCCAGAGGGTGACAGGAGGCAAGAATCAACGTGATAGCCACATCCCCTTCAACTACCACAGTAAGACTAAGTTGCTCAGACTGTCGTGGTGCTGGAAGTGTTGCTTACCCATTACCTTGATGCCTGTGCCAGCCGTAGTCATTCACTGTTATCATACAGCAATTGTTGGCATATTCAGATGGTGACATGAGTGATTTCTGGGACATGAACCAGTGGCTTGACCTTTCTCCCTTGCTATGTTTGTGTTTTGAAGTTGCCTTGTTTTTGTACTCGGGGGAGGAAGGAAAGGATTTGAATCAAAAGCTTTTGCAACCTCAGGAAGAGATACAGTTAGAGCTGGTCGTGGGAGGCATTAAGAAAATCCTCCTGGCATTGCCTCCTCTTTCTGATGGCCATTATTCTGCAGCTGAGAGAGGTCCCTTCACACCATGTATCTGTTTTTAATCCATTTGTTTTACTAGATGTGGAACAGATCACAGCGGCAACTGCTGTTTTCATTGGCCACATAACTACTAGATGGAATGATATTCCTGTATCTTCCATGTGAATTTCTTAATTTATCTCCTCACTCTGAGAACTGTCTGACTGCAGTTGTATGCTGGCCAAAGGTTTTCAGTGAAGTGCTGACTGCAAAGACTGCCTTTGCCTCTCATTAGTGGAAATGCATGCAGATATGTGACTGCAAGTCAAACTGCAACGTTTTCTGATGTTGCTTCCTAATTTACTGGCTTGAATTTTCTTTTTACTTCAATCTGTGAGCAGATGAAAGTCCTGTCACAACCACGCAGGCCATGCTGGTCCCACACAGACAGCAGAAACGACAACTCTCTGAAGACATGCTACAGCAGGTACAGCATTAATAGGTTTGCGTTTACCACGGGCAGGTTAGGGAAGCAGGATTACACAAAGCGAAGCTGTAGCCGCCCCATTAACATCATCAGATTTGATGTGTGCTCTTGAGCCATTTAAAATGGGACAGTCATGCATCAAATCCTGTCTGTATCCAGTCTTTAGAAAACGCGCTGTGGGGAGCAAAGTTGGAGCTGAGAAAATCTTTGAAGGGAGGGGAGGGACAGGTGACTAAGACCTAAGCCAAGGGAGGGGAACGCTGGAGGGAGGGGGAAGGTGCTTTTGGTCCTCCCAGAGGATCAGAAGGGGAAAATCTCAGGCATAAATTAACATGTCCAGAAGTGTCCAGTCAGGGTAATGTCTCTGCACCAGCACCAGAGATGACAGAGCATCAGCCACAGAGAGAGGATGCAGGAAGGCAGAGGCTTCAGCTGCTCGGGGACAACCCTCCAGGCAACCACTACGGGGCTCAGATTTAGGGGCTGCCAGGTTCCACGTTACCACCTGCCTCTTCCCCAGCTCTGTGCCCCCACACTGAAAGCCCTTCTGTCTCCTCAGATGAAATGCTCACACTTGGTGCTACCCTGGAGGGCGCAGGACCTCTTCAGCACAGAGCAGAAGGATGCGTTCACACCTAAGTACAGAGGCCCAGCAGAAATCCAAACGGGAGACTCCCAAGTGAGCCGTGTCCCACTGGGGACCCTGAAAGGATACTGCCCCCGGAGGAAGGTGGTCTTCGCACCATGACGTTCCCCCTTTCTCACTGACTGCCCGGGACTTCCTGGGCTATTGACTGCCTCTGTGTTGTTTTACCTAGCTCTTCTGGTGCCCTGCTTTTGGCCCACCTGTGTGTTATTACAGGTAACATTTATTTCAAGAGTTGAATGAGGACACAAAGTGTTGTGACAACAAGAATAAACATCTGGGGATCAGCCCAAAGACATGGGTGACACATTTCTGTGGGTTGCAAGACCCACAGAGTGCCTCCGGGCAGGTGCTGGGGCAGGAGGGAGCAGTGGGGTAGGGGAAGCTCAGAGGAAGGGCAAGAGATCAGAGGCACTGTCAGGGCTGTATGTGGGCTGGAATCTTCCCTTGTTATCTGTTTAGATTTTGGTGTCAAGGCCTGAAACCAAAGGTCAGTGAACAGTAGGACAGAGAGGTAGCCCTCCCCAGCTTATGATGAGTGGGCTGTTTTCCTAGCGACGAGCAGTGTATTTTTGTTGAGTTGATAGCTCACGTGGATTTCCTGAATGCTGAGCTTGCACTAACTCTGTTTGGGCTGTAGATATTTTGAAGCTGGATCCGTGTGGGGCGGTCAGCTCCCTCCCCTGGGAGGCCAAGTGAGCAGGGTCAGCTGGTGCCTTGTCACAGCTGCCACTTCACAAGCTCGTCTTGGCCTTTTGATGCAGACAGACTTGATTCATGTGTGCTGCAAACCAACACCGAAGCATTTGAGCAGGCGTTACTGAATCATTTCCAATCGCTGCGTTCTGTACGTAAGCAGGGGCTGGGCCCACAACCCCCTTGTGTTTTCCTCTTGGGATTTGACTCTGCTTCTCTTGGGAAAGGGACATTCTGTGCTCCACACGTACTTCACAGAAGCTGCACACTCAAGCCTTGCAAATTCCCACAGGCACCTCACATCGGTGTCTTACACCGGTAGGTTGCAAACACCTCGATTCAAACACCTAGATTGCATCACTTGGTGTAGTAACAGGGACTCGCATATGCCACGGGTCTACCCCATAGCTTTTATGTGACCCTGAGGTGGCATTGCCACCAACTGCATTACTGCAGGAACAGCCGTGGGTCACTGGGGTTGTTCCATGGTGAACATCAGCCTTGTGGTGGTCCCAGCTGGCTGGGGAGCTGCTGCTGAGAGGACCCTGGGGTTGTTTACTTTTTTTCTTTTTTTTTTCCACATGGATTTTGATGCAATTTCAGACACAGAAAGCAAAGCTGGCTTTTGGGGTAAGGGCCTTGGCTTTCTAAACCCCTCTCCATCCACTTCCAGAAACGCCTCAGGGATGCCTGAATTTGGGAAGGCCGAACAGCCTTTCTGTGCTCCCCCCAGTGACATGAAAGCTGCCAGCACGGCTGGCGCTGCGTGACAGCTCCCTGCGGACGGAGCCACCAGCACGTACCAGTGGCACATCAACAGCGCCTGTGACTCAGAGATAAGACAACGTCTGACGTTGTTGCTCCTTCGGCTTAAAAACGCGTCACTCGCCTCCACGGCCCCCTCCTCGGCGCTGCACCAGCCTCACACACGGGGTCAGCACTAAAACATCACCATGAAACGGGGTCTCAGTCCAACCTTGGCAGAGCTAGGCCTGTAGGGCTGGCCCTGGAGGGGCAGGGATAAATAGGGATTTCGGGACAGCCTTTGCTCTTTCTCCCCTTCCCTGGAGGGCCGCAGAGGTGCCCGTCCCGCTTGCCCAAAGTGGGGACCAGCCTCGCGGAGCTGCCCGGATCATCAGGGGCAGCAGCGATGCAGCCCCTCAGGCGTGTGAGGAGTTTGGTGGTGGAGCTGGAGGACGGGCGAGTGTGGGGTGCCTACGGCAGCGGGGAGCTGCTGCACGGCCGCGTGCGGCTGGAGCTGCGCGGTGCCCTGCGGCTGCGGGCGCTGGAGGTGTGCGCTCGCGGGCGCGCTTTCGTGCACTGGCTGGAGAGCCACAGCGTGGGGCTCAACACCGTCTACCACGACTACACGGCCTTCCAGACCTTCCTGTACCGCCGCTGTCAACTTATCCCCGGTAAGGCTGGGGCTCGGGGGTGGTTCGGTGCTAAAAGGTGTTGGGTTGGGACCCCCGTGGGCTGCAGGCACCCCCTCTGGGCAGGTCTCCACCCTTCCCGTGAAGGTTGGTGCCACCTGCAAGCAGCAGCATCCCTCTCGGCCTCTGCCAAGGGTTTCTTTGCTGCTGGTTTCAGGGGGGCTGATGTGCACGAAAGGGTTGTGGCTTTTGTTCTGTTTGCACAGGGAAGTGCAAATAGAAGTGTCTGTTCACAAGCGTGGAAAGAGCACTTAGTCGCTCGGTAAATATTTGTTTCCAGTTTTCTGATGCTGGAACCGCATGCCCAGCTGGCATGTTGCTTGGACCTACTGCATGAGGACAAGCCACTCGAATTATTTGCCTAGTTGGGATGAAATGCTCCAGAGCCAAGGGATACGGGACGTCGCAGCTGTCCATCCGCTCGTTAACTCTGCCTTACGAAAGCGCTTGTCTTTTGTCCTCCCCCACCATGGCATTGTTACAGCCGTGGCTCTGTGCTTCCCCTCCTCCCCTTTCCAATGCCATTTTATTGCCTGTCCTGCTCGGTGTCCGAGGGTGCCTAATACTGAGGGCATGTCAATGTGCTGGAGCAAGGGCCCAGCTGGCAAACGTAGAGCTTGCAGGAGTGATGGCAGCTGCTGCTCTGGAGGTGTTCTTGCCCCTAAACTGCACTTTAGGGCCATATTCCCCTTTTCTGGATGACTGTGCCTAGCCACCTGCTCCAAACACCTGCATTACTCCCGAGTTTCTGTCTTTTTGGCAGCGGCCCTTCTGCGCTGTGCCTAAGGATGGCCCCTGGGCAGCTGCGAGTGTGTTAAGCGGCCTGATGACAATTAAGGATGTGGGAGAAGCCCGCGCCCTGAACTCCAGTGGAGAAGATCCTGAGTGGTCATCACACTGTTTGGATGGTGGCTGCCTTAGCTGTAAGGGTATAGGGTGAGTTTGATTCCCCGTTATCCCTGCAGTGGGTTTCTTTAGAGAAGCCACGAGCTGCCGCGAGCATGTTTGCGCTCTGCTGCGAGGACTGTGCATTATCCAAGCCCCCGGAGCCGGCTGGAGGAGGGCGTTTAGCCAAGGGCTGGAGGAATTACAGGAGCTGCTTGGCCTTGCCAGCACCCTGCGCTCCCGTAGCTCGGAGCTAATGGCTTCTGGCCCTCGCCTGCTGCGTGGGGAGAGTTTAAGTGGGCTCTGCGGGGAGCAGGGAGCCTCGCCAGAACTTGCGGGCTGTGATTTTATCCTCTGTGTTCACCGAGCGATTCCTTCTCTCCTTTGTGAGAGGGACACGGGCCTGTGATCACAGGAGTGCTGTAAGGAGGCTGTGGGTTGGGGAGAAGCGCTGCTCTGCGGCCAAAATCCCTTCCTGTGGATCCCACTGGGCTCCTGCTCCGTCCCCCCGTCACCGGTGGCAGCGTGAGGACGTTCCTGGGGTCGGCTAGCGAGAGGCTGGTGAAAACGTGCCATCATCTGCAGGCCCTGTGACTGCTCCCTTGTTGCTTCTCGATGAGCTCAACTGTGTCTGCGTGGTGTTTAAAAAATGCAGGTTTTGTCATGGTAACAAGGCAGTGCAGAGGAGGGAAGCCAGGCGGAGATAAGCGCCCTCCGCTCTGCTCTCCACTCAGCTGTGACTTTATCTGCAGTTTCCTAGCAGGGTGGTGAGGGCTGGCACGGGGGTGCTGTGCTTCGGGACGTGAGAAGGGCTGGAAGAAGGATGTTCGGACTGCGTTTCAGGGCCATTAAATGTATATTGTGTAAACAGGGCACAGGAAGAGAGGAGAAGGTAGGGCTTTCATGGGCAAAGCCAAGGCCCTGGCTGCTGTTGTAGGAGGTGCTGTGAGAGGGGCCCGGGAGCTGCTGACCCCGGCTGCTGGGCAGAGCCCTGCGTGGCCCCAGAGCCATCGGGGAGCAGTATCAGGATCCCCAGGGTGAGCTGGGGAAGGAGAAGCTCCTTGAGAACCACTGCCAGCTTCTGCTGGGGCTGGTTTCAGCCTGGCCAGACTCTAGATGGGGCTGATGAGTTGGAGATGGCTCCTGCCTGGAGCCCAACCGCCTTTCAGCCGGTTGTGGGCACGAAAAGTCCTGCGAGCTGGTTGTGACCCTGGGCCCTGGGGAGAGGAGAGACCCCCCCACCGCCACCCCAACCCCCGGTGCTGTGGGTCCCGGGCAGGTCGCAGCAGGGGCTTCGCAGCCTCGCGTGCGGCGGAGGCGAGCGGCGGTGGCTGCGGCACGGGAGGGAGGTTTGCAGAGATTCACATCCCGTGGGCGACGGCTGAGTCACGGGCTGGGGGCTGCGAGCTGACGGGCTGCAGCAGGGATGAGAAAAGCACAGGATGGAGCTGCCTCGGCCCCACTGCAGCTCCAGGAGCCCCCCACCAGGACCCACACGGCCTCCGGTGCCACCGTGCATCGAGGCGGGGACACCGGGTGCCTTCCCGGGGCTGCCGTCACCGCCTGGGTCCTGCCGTGCCGTGCCTTCCTTCCTCCTTCCCCGTTGCTCTCGGGCTCCCCTCGCAGTGTTTGCTCTGATTCATGTTTGCTCGTGGCAGCAAACGGGCACGTACGCAAAACAAAACGCGGTCCCCTTCCCTCGCGGGGGAGGCAGACGATTCCAGTCTGCCTTTGGAGGCAGCTAAAGCGTTGCGAGGCTCCAGCCCAGCTCATTTTCAGGGGCTGAGATCAACCCGGTTCAGCACAGCGGGACTTGCCCAACACGGCTGGGAGCAACTCGAAAATCCTCAAGGCTTTCGCAGCCAAATGCTGAGTAACATTTTAATGCCTGCCTGTTTTGTCTTATCCCAGGCCCGTGCCCGGGGTGGAGAGCTCTGCTGCTTCGCAAATGTGACAATCATGATTAAAGTGGAAGCTTCTAAGGCTGAGTTAACCCTTTTGGAGGGGGCACGGGCCACTTTCTGCCCCACTTCTCCCTTTTACAACATCTCTGGGTGCTGCTAATGGTGGTGTCCATGCCAAAAACCAACAGCTCCCCGTTTTCATGCCTTTACCCCCACCGAGCACCAGCAGCAGATGCTGATGACGGAGCGAGACCCTTGCACTTCCCACACAGATATAATTTGTCGCCAGAATTTTGGAGCAGCCCCACACAAACCCCAGCACGAGCTGGTGGAGAACCAGCGCTTCCCTGGTTAAAAGGCGCGGGGAAAGATGCATTGCTCACTGTGTAATTGCACAAAGCTGAATGGGAGCCAGTACTTCATTTCTTAGAAATAAGCCAAGCGATGTCCCAGACCAGCTTTCCCTTCACCGCCAGTTGGCCCGGCCCTGCCGTGCGAGGAGCCGAGATCCAGTTGCAGCCTGTTCTGACCCCTGGGAATGGCTCTTGGGAAAGACGTGAGCGCGGCTGTGTGCGGCGCCCGGCGCTGCGGGAACGGGACGGGAAGGGAAGGGAAGGCGCTGCCGCTCCGAGGAGCGCTGATCGAGGGGGGTGAGGAACCCCCCGGTCACAGCTGCCGACTGCGAGCCTGAGAACGCGGAGTTCTGGGGTGTGTGGGGTCAGGGACACGGCCGTGATGGGAGCCAGAAGCCTTCCTCACGCGGGGACGGCAGCACCGCAGCAGAGAGGGGCTGATGTACGGGGGGCAAATGCTGAGCTTACACACGCGTCTTCTGCGGGGTCCCTGCGGGGCTGGCGGCTCAGCCCCCATCCTCAGCACATCCTGCCCCGTCCCTGCTTCATCCTGCCCCATCTCCAACCCATCCCTGCCTCATCCTGCCCTATCCCCAACCCATCCTGGCCCCATCTTTGCTTCATCCTGCCCTATCCCTACCCCATCCTGCCCCATCCTGCCCCATCCCACCCCGTTCTACCCCATCCCTGCTTCCTCCTGCTCTCTCTCTTCCTCATCCTGCCCCATCCCACCCCATTCTGCCCTACCCCCAACCCACCCTGCCCCATCCCCGACCCATCCTGCCCTATCCCACCCCATCCTACCCCATCCCCACCCCATCCCCGACCCATTCTGCCCCATTTTTCCCTCATCCTACCCCATCCCCACCCCGACCCCGACCCATCCTGCCCCATTTCTTCCTCACCCTGCCCTATCCCACCCCATTCTGCCCTATCCCACCCCATCCTACCCCATTTCTCCCCCACCCCACCCCACCCCACCCCACCACCAGCCAAAGCCCTGGACACCCCTCGGCCACCCCAGCACCGCAACCCCCGAGGTGCCAAGCCTTGGGGAGCCCCATCCTCTCCGAGCTGTGTGTGTAGGTGGGGGACACGGAGGGCTGGCGGCCACCCCTTGCCCCCTCCCCCTTGTTTTGCAGCACCCTCCGGGGCCGCCCCGTCCCGCCCCATCGGGGGCCGCCCCCGGGCGCTCCGGGCACTTAAAAAGCGAAGCTGCGGGGCGGTGAGGTTAGGAGCTGGAGCCGCCATCTCGCCATGCTTTTCGATCGGCTCAAACGTTTCGCCATCGTGCTGGAGGGTGCGGAGAGAGGGGCTCCGGCCGCTTTCAGCCCCGGGCAGGCGGTGGCCGGCCGGGTGCTGCTGGAGCTGGCGGCGGCGGCGAAGCTCGGGGCGCTCCGGCTGCGGGCGATCGGCGCTGCCCGGGTCCATTGGACCGAATCCCGCAGCGCCGGCTCCAGCACCGCCTACACGCAGAGTTACAGCGACCAGGTGGAGTTCCTCAGCCACCGAGACACGCTGCTGGCCCCGCCAGGTACCGCGGGGGTCGAGCTGAGAGAGGGGGGGGAGTTGGGGCTGGGGGCTCCTAGGGTTAGGGTTGGGGTTGGGTTGGGTTAGGGTTAGGGTTGCAGCCTGGCTCTTGGGGAGCTGCGGACACCCTGCTTGGGGACACCCTGCTTGGGGACACCCCATTTGGTGCCCCCCCCTTCTCTAATCCCATCCCTGGTGGAGAAGCAGCCCTGGGGAGCTGCATTCTCCAGAGCCCCCAGGGGTCCCGGCCAGCCCCACCGAGCACGTTGGGGTGCAGCCCTGCAGGGCGCAGGGTGCTTGGTCACCCTCCTTAGCTCCAAGTGCCCAAGTTGCTGTTCTGGGCAGCCACAGGGTGAAGCAGAGCCCACCCGGGCAGCCCCCGGCTCCCCAGGGCACTGCACGCACAGGGGTGTGCGGAGAGCAGAGCCCGGTGCCCGCGGGACGTGCCTGGCTGTGGGTCACAGCTGTGTTGTTGTTGCTGCTGCTGCAGTTTAACCCCGGCAGAAATATTCCAGCAGTGTCGTGCTGCTCCTTCCCTGCCTGCGCTGCTCCGCCACCGATTTGCTCGGGGAGGAAGTCCTGCAGATGCGAGATAATCGTCTTCAATCTGTTTTGCCCACAGACAATGGTGAAGTCACCGTCCTGCAGGCAGGAAGGCACGAGTTCCCCTTCACTTTCCAGCTCCCCGAGTAAGTTCGTGGGTTTTTGTTGCCTTAATGTAAAGGGGAAGAGGAGCTGCTCGGTCCTGGGGAGGGTGGACGGGGCACCTCGGAGCCGAACCTTTCAGCAGAGCCCTCCTGAATTGCTCCCTGCTCGTACACAGGACCCTGGCTACCTCCTTCGAGGGAAAGCACGGCAGCGTGCGCTACTGGGTGAAAGCCAAACTGCACAGACCCTGGTCGACGGTGAAAAAGGTGAAGAAGGAGTTCACCGTGATCGAGCCCATCGACATCAACACGCCTGCGCTGCTGGTGAGCTCCCCCTCCTCCTCCTCGTCTAAAGCTTGGCCAGTGCCTAAAGTGAGCTTGTCAAACGTGTCACGGGCCTGATGTCCAGAGGGGATGTTTGTCCCCTGTGACTCGTGCCCTCCAGCACTACCTGGGCTGGGCCCCGAGGAGCACGGAGGTCATCTCTGCCTCCTGTTTTTTTGGGAACTGAAATGCATTGCGAAAGCATCTTGCATAAGATTCCTAGGAACTTGCTGATGCTCCCCAGCAGGTTGTCAGCGCCAGGGAGGTGTTCGCTTTGTCTTTCATCGTTTCTTTCCAAATAGCTCAAATATATCCCTTTTTTTTTTTTTTTTTCCAGGCTCCGCAGGCAGGTGCTAAGGAGAAACTTGCTCGTGCCTGGTACTGCAATCGTGGCCAGGTTTCTGTGACTGCCAAGATAGACCGAAAAGGCTACACCCCAGGTGAGCACCCCACCGTGCTGCTGCCCTTCAACTTCTGCAGGCCCTGGGGTAAACCTTGGTGGGAGAGGATTTGGGCTCACTGCGAGCTGGGCTCTTGCCTTCTGGCACAAAATTAGAGCATTTAGGGCTCACACCTGATGCGAGGCGGCCACCTCGGGACACGCTCCTCGCTAGACGAAGCCTTGTGCCAGGCAGTAGGACGAGCCCTTGGTGATCCTGTGCAGGAATTCCTCGGGCAGGACCGGGCTCCGTCTCCCCTCCTCCAACACACACGTCTCTTTTGGCAGGTGAGGTCATCCCTATCTTTGCTGAGATCGACAACTGCACGAGCCGGGCGGTGGTGCCCAAGGCAGGCCATCATCCAGACTCAGACCTTCATTGCTCGGGGCACCAAGAAGCAGAAGAAGTCGGTGGTCACCAGCATCGTTGGCTGACTCCATCGCGGCGGGGAAGCGGGAAGTGTGGCACGGGCGGGCGCTGAAGATCCCCCCGGTGGGGCCGTCCATCCTCCAGTGCCGCATCATCCAAGTGGAATATTCCCTGAAGGTGAGGGACCTGGTGGGGACCAGTGTAGAAGGTTCAGCTCTCGGTTGTGCTCCCTGTCTCACCAGAGCTGTGCTCATCGTGGGTGCTGGTGCTGAGCATTTTGGGGCTGGTGACCTGTGTGAGGTCCTCGGGTTTCCCCCAGTGCAGCTGTGGCTGCGCTCCCCATGGCATGCAGGGGGTGAGGGCTTGTGCTGGAGTGCTCACATCTCCCTCTGCTTCCCACCACAAGAATTCCCTTCTGGAATTCCCTTCTGGCTAGCTTGAGCTGGCGCTCTGGGGAAGAAAGATCCGCCCCTCTGGATTGGGAAAACACCAACAGCTAAGTTTCCCTCTTGCCTCCTGTCTCTGCAGGTTTGCGTGGATATTCCTGGGACGTCCAAGCTGCTCCTCGAGCTGCCGCTTGTCATCGGAACAATCCCGCTGCATCCGTTCGGGAGCCGCACGTCCAGCGTCAGCAGCCAGTACAGCATCAACCTGGACTGGCTGAGCACCATCCCCGAGCAGCCAGAGGGTGAGCATCTCCCTGGGGTCTGCCTGGGTGCTGCAAACCCCCCTGGTCAACCCCCTCGTGATAGAGAGGGGCAGAGCAAGTTCTCAGCCTTGCCCCTTGCTCCAGGACTAGCTTTTGCTTTTTTTTTTACTTAATTTTTCAGTTGTGGGTTCCCTCTGAACTGGTGCCATTTACCCAGAACTGGGAGGGTTTGGGAAATAATGAATTTGAATCTGTTTTACCTGCATGTTCTAGTCCCTGATGCCTTTTTTTCCTCTCTTCAGCTCCCCCTGAATACTCATCAGTCGTGTCCAGCCCGGAGGCTGAGCAGAGCCTGGCTCCGCCGTGCCGCAGCGAACTGGGCGGTGTCCTGGAAGGTCCCTTCTTCGCCTACATCCAGGAGTTTCGCTTTCGACCACCTCCGCTGTATTCAGAGGTAACAAATCCCCCAGCTCTGCGGACCTGGCCTTGGGGGCTGGAGGGAGATGGGGGGGATGTGACCGCTGCCGGGGTTCCTGACCTTAAATTCGGCTTTGCAGATTGATCCAAACCCACCGTCAGACAACATCCGTCCACGCTGCATGACCTGCTGAGAGAAGCACCTTGGATGTGGCTGACAGCGTGACAACCCGTGGGGTTGAAAGCTTGCACCCTCGCAGCCCTTCGGTCTGGGAACGGCGCCCGAGCGGCGGCTGAGCGACCAGAGCTGCAGCGCTGAGACCCCGTCCGTGCTCGCTGCCCTCCCTGCTCCTGCCGGGACTGTCCCACGGGCTGACACCGAGCTGCAGGGCTGGCTGGTGGCGTGGACTCGTGCGTGGTAGGAGAGCACGTGTGAGACCCGGCGGTGTGAGCAGCTAGGTGGGACGCAGAGGGTTAATCACCGCCCCGGCATTTTGGGGTTCGGATGGGACATTCGGCACGAGCCAAGATTGCGCTCACCTTGTCTGCAGTGGCTGTGCTCTGGCAGCTCCTGTCACGGAAAACAGGAGCTTGGAGGTATTTTTCAGGATTACTAGTGAATATTTTATAATCTTGTGCTGAGTTCATCCCGTGGTGGTGCGGGTGCAGCCCTTCTCCTGCAGTAGCTCACCAGGGCTGCAGTGTCCTAAGAAAGTAACGGGCCTTTTTCGGGCCAGATGAAGCAGAGCCTTTGTCCGCTGCTGAGAAATGTTGCCACGAGCCTGGTGATGCCTGCAGGGGGAATGGTTTGAGCTGCCTCAACAGCCTGGCCAAAAAATGTAAAGACTTCCATGGATTATTGTCAGGGCGGAGGACTTGGGGGGGGGGCATGAATTTATTTCCAAAGCAGCAGAGATCTGTGGAGGCCTTTTGGTGCCACTTAACCAAGAATGTGAAAGCCGGTTCCTGCGTGCTGGCCTGAAACCTGTACCACGTGCTGCTGCCTCCCCCCAGGCTGGGGCTAAAAACCAGCCCCCCGCCTGCAGTGCCACCATGGGGGGGTCTTGCTGGGCTCCGTGGTGGCCAAGGAAATGAGAAAGAAGTCTGCTCCGAGGCTGGCAGCAGCCACAAAAGCTGAAGGGAGATGTGGAGCTGAAATGAACCCTCCAGGGCCAGGAGACCTGCTCAGGAGGGGCCTGATCCTGTGCCCGCAGAGGGGCCGGCAGCCCCGGCACGGTGAGGAAAGGCCCAGCAGCAATTTGTGCTGCTGCTGTGGGAGCCGGGTGCTGCAAGGTGCCCGCTGGGGCTGACCCCACACCCTCCGGCACCATCTGGGCAGGGTTTGGGGGCTGGGGACCTTTGCATTCCCTCTCTGAGACAACCCCGATGAGCGCCCACGGGGCTCCATGAGGAGCCAAAGCCAGAAGAGCCTCAGCCTCTGTGCTGGGACCACGCTCAGCTCACTGGGGCTTGCTCAGAGGACTTTTTTTTGTATCTGTGAACACTTTTATAATGACCACTCTTGTCTGATATTCTTCCTTTTTGTACGACTTTCGTTGGGGGATTTTTGTTTGAAATAAATTCTTTACACCCAGCTCTTGCGTGGCTCTTACACGGGTGGATTTTTTTCTGTTGTGCTGTTCCTGCCGGACCCACTCTGCCCGTGCTTCCCCGGCTCCTGTGGCAGCTGGGAGGTGTCGCAGGTGAGCAGGAGGGCTCTGACCCTCACCACATCGCCCCGGGGGACCCAGCTCCATCCCACTACCGGTATTAACTGGCCTACTGGTATTAACTGGGTCAGGCGGTCAGTGCTGCCCTCCGGCACCGGTTAGGGGCTCGCAGCCTGTCCCAGCCCCGGGGCTGGTGCTGAAATTCCCCGGCTCTCATGGTCGGTGCTGGTGCAGCAAGGCCAGATCCTGGTGCTCTGCTGAGACCCAGGGGGAGAAGGGTGAAGTGTCCCAGAGCCACGTTCTGCTCCGTGCCTCCAGGCAGCCTCGTTCCTCCTTAGTGCCGCAAGCGCTCCCGTTGTGTTTTTCTGTGTTTGCTGCTATTTGTGCCTGGGGGGCCGTGTTTGTCCTCCATCCCATGGGGCCCGCTCGGCTCCAGCTGGGATGTGCCAGCTCCCACAAGGGCTGCGAGCGGCTCCTTCACCTGCTCTCTTTGCCCTGAGCTCTTTTTCCGTTTGTTTGTCCTGGCGTTTCTGCGCTCCACATCTCTGCTGAGCGCAGCAGATTTACAGCATGCAAAACAGGGCTCGGGGGTCAGTTATGTCTTCCACCAGCTGTGCGGTTTAAAAACATTGCCACCAGACTGTGATTTTCCTCTTTCTTGTTGTCACTTTGTTTTTTTGTTTGTTTTTCTGAGCTGATCCCTGTGGCGGCCGCGCTGGAGCACGTGCTCCCGCAGCGGGCCGGCGCGAAAACGCATCCACGTGGGGCCCTCGCGCCCGCACAGGCGCTGTCTGCCCGCGAGAGCTCTACGCTCACGCAACCTTTATTCGGATCTGATTTTATTTGGCATCCCCGGCTGCTCTGAGTAATCTTCCTCGGAAGAGGATTAAGCCGCCTCGCAGTGAATGCGTTCGCATCCCTCTCCGTGGAGCCATGCGCAGAGGCGGCCGGCGCTGCGCGTCCCCGCGGTTCAGCCGTGCCGGGGCACGTTGGTGGGATCAAAGCGGGCACAAACCGCAGCGCTGCACCCCCCCTGAGCACAGAGAAGCCTCTGAAGGGAAAACCCTGTGATCTGCCCCCCCCGGGGCCAGCACGGAGCTGTGCTG